TGTCCTCTTTGGAGAAGTGTCTGTTCATATCTTCTGCCCATTTCTTCACTGGGTTGTTTGTTTTTCGGGTGTGGAGTTTGGTGAGTTCCTTATAGATTCTGGATATTAACCCTTTATCTGATATGTCATTTGCAACTATCTTTTCCCATTCCGTTGGTTGCCTATTAGTTTTGTGGGTTGTTTCCTTTGCTGTGCAGAAGCTTTTAATCTTGATGAGGTCCCAATCGTTTATTTTTGCTCTTGATTCCCTTGCTTTTGGGGACATGTCAAGTAAAAAGTTGCTGCGGTGGAGGTCAAGGAGGTTGTTTCCTGCTTTTTCCTCTAGGGTGTTGATAGTTTCCTGTCTCACGTTCAGGTCCTTTATCCATTTTGAGTTTATTTTTGTGCATGGTGTGAGAAAATTCAATATGTGTTTTAAAAGTTAAACCTTTTTGTATGTGTATTTTGCCATACTTAAAAAAAAATTTAAGGGGTGCCTGGGTGGCTCAGTCGGTTAAGTACCCAACTTCGGCTCAGGTCATGATCTCACAGTTCGTGGGTTTAAGCCCCGCGTCGGGCTCTCTGCTGGCAGCTCAGAACATGGAGCCTGTTTCGGATTCCGTCTCTCCCTCTCTCTCTGCCCCTTCCCCGCTCATGCTCTATCTCTCTCTGTCTCAAAAATAAAGAAACTATAAAAAATAAAAATAAAAAAATTTTAATATCTGGGCCCATCCCAGATCAATTAAATCAGAATCTCCAGGGCCCGGCCTAGGCATGACTATTTTAATAGGAGAATAAAAAGCCATGCAGCTAAATGTTAATTAGAGGGAATTTTTGTGTGTTTGTGATTTTTATAACTGAGGAAAAGCAAAAACAAAAACAAAACAAAAACAGAAAAACAAAAATCAAAAAAACCCCAAACCCCCTAAAGAGAAAAATGCATAAGAGAATAAGTTAATTGTTAATTAGTAAGTTAGCAAGTTAATTGAGGTCAAGTAAGACCCAGACTGAGCTGAAGTCAGTTCTAGGCTTCTTCTGGTTTTGACCCTTTCTTTGCATATGTCTGTTATTGGCACCAGCTACCCCGCTTCTCAACAAAGGAACCTGTTTGCCAGGAGTGAAGAGCACTGGGCCTTGGCTAACATGGCCCAGAGGACCAAGGTTTGGGAGTCGGGAAAGGCCTGGACCTCAGGAGCCCACATAGACACAACTCCAAGGCCAAGCCCAGGGGCATCTCCGGCTGGCGACCAGCTGAGGGCGTATTACCTCCTCCATATCTTTCTGTTACTTCCACCTTGGTCCACAGAGATTTTCTGAACTTGTCTAAGTCACGCTCCCCTACTGTCTCAAGTTTAACTCAGACTGTTGGCAAACAGACTCTTTTTTTAAAAAATTTTTTAAATGTTTTATTTATTTATGAGAGAGAGAGAGTGTGTGTGTGAGCAGGGAAGGATCAGAGAGAGAGGGAGATACAGAATCTGAAACAGGCTCCAGGCTCTGAGCTAACTGTCAGCACAGAGCCCAACGTGGGGCTCGAACTCATGAACCATGAGATCATGACCTGAGCCAAAGTCAGGCGCTTAACTGACTGAGCCACCCAGGTGCCCCAAACAGACTCTTATTAAATTCACAAGGGGCCATCAGAGCAGTCGGAACCACTGTAAAAGGGTGAGCCCACAACTGTACGCTGCCTGCAGGTGAATACTGCACGTGGGTTTTTGGGACCCCTGTTCGCCCACCAGGGTGGGTCTGTCAATCTAGTTTCCACCTGTGGTCATTTTCAAAAGGCTTTGATGGCCTGTCAGCTTCTTACTGAAACTCATTTAAACTCTTTTCTTCTTTCATGTAGAGTAATCACTGTGCTGGGTGTTTTCCACTTTTGCCTCCATATCCATTTTCCACCCTGTGGCCTATAGGCTGATCTCAGCGGATCGCATTAACCGGGTCCCCTTGTTCTCTTGCTTCCTGTTGGGTTTGGCCAATGGGAGGCCCTGGCAGCAGACCAGAGGGCGGGAGGAGAGAGAGGCTGGGTAGTCAGTCTCCTCGTTCCCTCTCCGCTGGGTAGTGGGGTGGTAGTGACTGCTTTCCTCTGCTGAAGGTCATAGGCCATTGCGGACTCTCTCCCCATAACTATAGATCTCCTAATCCTGGGGGTGGCTTGAGGCCTAGGAATGGTCACAATGCCAGTCCCAGGATGCTTTGCCCTACCTTGTTGGTTTCTCTTCCTGCCCATTTGTGCCCCTTGGTCAGCTCCCCGCACTCACCCCTGTTGAGGGTGCTGCCATCTCTCTTGCCCAGAGTCTGGCTGACATGGCTACTTGCACCGTTCTGATTAGGATGTGCTTATAGACGCTTCTTTCAACTGGTCAGATGCAGTGAAGCCAAGGTTATGAGTATGACCCTTGCGTGGGCTGGTTGGCTGTTTTCAGCTTTGTCCTGGTGCCCTTTGCTTCCTCCCTTGAGTCCAGAGAGGTTGGGGATCTCTGGGGCTGTAACACAGCTCTTGTTTCCCGAGCACCTTCTCTGCACAGGCCCTGGATTAGGGGTCATCCTCAAGTCTTTTCCTACCTCCTATCCTACAGGGTAGGGACTATCTCCTCCTTCCTACAGATGAGAGAACTGAGATCCAGAGAGCTTGTGTAGTTTCCCTGAGGTCACACAGCAACTTTGGGGGAGGGGAATAGGATTTAGGTTCACATTTTCATCAAAGCTGGTGTACTCTTCGTCGGGGTCGGCTGCCTCTATGTGCAAACGTTTTAGTACAACTCGAAAAGTCTACTGTTAGTCAATTCTACAAATACCGCTGGTAAACCAACAGCGCACGGTGGTGGGAGCTGCTCTGCAGAGTTTGAACGATGCAGAAATACTTGGACACAACAGGGGATCTTGACTAGACAAGGCAGTCCCCAGGCTGCACTGTGTGACATCTGCAGACCGTTCTGGTAGTGTTCCATGTAACCTGGCCTTGTCTGGACAAGTTCTTCTCAGGAAGTCCTACGGGCTCCATTTCCCGAAATAATCCTCAAGATGACCATGTGGAACGTTCTGCACCCTGGCTGGAGTCCTGGTCTCAATAATCAATAATCCTGGTCTCAATAATCACTCCAGAATCACTTGTGTGTCTCATCTCAGTGCCTGGGGTTTGTGACCGAGTGATTCAAGACCCTCGGGTCTCAGAAAGAATGGACTCAAAATACACTTATGTCTCAGGAACTTCTTTCTTCCTTTTTTTCCAAGTTTTCCAAGAAACTTCTTGGTTGTGCTATTCAGATCCTTCATTCTTATCAATAGTTTGCCCTTCTGTCTTGAAGCCTTAGGATTTTAAAAAGGAAACTGAACAATCGCCCAGACTCACATGCAGCATCTTGACTCAGCTGTGCTTTTTGCCAAAAAAAAAAAAAAAAAAAGGTCTGGATACAAGCTAATGATTTAAAAGTCAAAGGAACTCCCCTGAAGAATGACATTTTAGTTACTAACATAACAATGATTTTATAGTTTGAAGATAATGTGCTTTACAATCATGTTTATTAATCCCTTTTTCCTAATCATGTTAAATTATAACGGTAATGATGGCTATTTTCATTCGATAAATATTTATTGACTGCTTATTATGTGCAAGGCACCTTGTGGATAAACATCACCCAATGGAAATACAATGTGAGCCACAGATGCAAGCCAGGTATGCAAACCGATTATTCCCAGGAGCCACATCGAAGAAGTGAGAAGAAACTTGTGAAGTTAATTTTAATAATATGCTTTATTTAACCCAGTATATTCAAAATATTATTTCAACATATAATTAATATAAAATTATGTATGTGATATTTAGGGGCATTTTTAAAAATTTTGAGTCTTTGAAATCCAGTGTGCATTTGACACATCTCATCTTTCTTTTTAATTTTTTAAAAAATATTTTTATTATTTCTAGGAGAGAGAGAGAGAGAGAGACAGCATGAGCAGGGGAGGGTCAGAGAGAGAGGGAGATACAGACTCTGAAATAGGCTCCAGGCTCTGAGCTGGCAGTCAGCACAGAGCCCAACACGGGACCCGAACCCACGAACCGCGAGATCATGACCTAAGCGAAAGTCAGACGCTTAACCGACTAAGCCACCCAGGCACCCCTTTTTAATTTTTTTTTAAGAGAGAGAGAGGGGCAGCAGGGGAGGGGCATGGGGAGGGAGAGAGAGAGAGAGAGAGACAGTCTCAGGGAGGCTCCACGCTTAGTGAGGAGCCTGACATAGGGCTCCATCCCACGACCCTGGGATCATGACCTGAGCCGAAATCAACAGTCAGATGCTCAACTGACTGAGTCACCTAGGCACCCCTCACACAGCACATCTTGAGTGGAAGTAGCCACTTGTTCATTAGCCACATGTGGCTTGTGGTTTCCATATTGGACAATGCAGTTCTAAAGAAAAGATTGTTTGCCTGAGAACTGAACAATTAACTATTATTTTGAGCACGAATCACATTCCCATGTAAGGTCACCTAACTTTTCCACAGTATTAGAATTGCAACCCAAATGTCCCAGGAGAATTAATTCACCGGGTGTTAAAAAGCACACACTAGGTGCTTACTTACCCATTTCTACCTGTTTATTAGCCTTGAGTAAAGCAGTTTCTTATTACCCTAGAGTTATTTGATATGTAAATTAGGGACCATTTCCTCCAAGACCCTGATTTTTTTCCCTTGTCGCTATTAAATTTAAATTACTTCAGCAAACTGGGGCATGGAGCTTGCCAGACTATCCCTGTTTCTGTGTCCAGTCAGCTACTGTGACTTCCTACTTTTGCCCCTGACAACAGCGGGACCTCAACCCAAGGTGACCAAGACTTTCGAACCCTCCTGATGGTCTGAGCTAGCAGCAGACCTTCTCAGAGAAGTGAGCTAAGGGGACACTCCCAGACTCACCCCATGCACAGGCCAAATACCGTCCTTTTATCAGGGAAAGCATGTCTTCCCACCACGCACCTCTAACCCACCTGAGCCGGTGGAGGCAGATTGGTGTGAGCGTCTCTTACCCGGGATCGCTGGTGCTTGTGGTAGAAGTCGGTCATGTTAAAATCATCCAGATCAAACAGCAGGCTTTGCCTACACATTTCGCAGGTCTTCACGGCACCTAGATCCGCTCCTTAAATTAAAGAAGGCTTTGTTATCCTGGGTCTCTTTGTGATGACATTGTGGGAGTGAACTTGCGTATGGTATGAATTCTGAATTTCAGTGACGTCTTTAAAAACTTTTTTATCTTTTATTTATTTTTGAGACCAAGAGAGACAGAGCATGAGTCGGGAAGGGGCAGAGAAAGAGACACACACAGAATCCAAAACAGGCTCTGGGCTCTGAACTGTCAGCACAGAGTCCAACGTGGGGTTTGAACTCACAGTCTGCAAGATCATGACCTGAGCCAAAATCGGACGCCTAACTGACTGAGCCATGCAGGCGCCCCTTGGTGACCTTTTTAAAGTCAGCCATTGTCTGTAGAAAAGGACCTTGAATCTGAGATCTGGAAAATTTCCTCCAAAATCATTTTCGTTATTATGCATGCAAGCTTCGTATAAGTGAAATTCTCATGACTTTTAAATAATAGGTCTTGCTTTCTGTTTAAATATAAATACACTGGTTCATAAAATTGCAATTGCTGCACGGAGGCAGAGAATCTGTTAACACTGGTGTTTGCCAAAAGAGTGAATATTGGCCTATGTTGTTGTTGTTTTTCTGACCTAACACAAGTCCAAGGAAATATAAATGATGACCACACTGATGGCAGAATTCTCAGTCTGTGGCTTAAATATTTGCCTTTACTCTCGCCCGGCTGCCTTCCCACCTGAGAGAGTTGAGGGAGCCAGGGGCCATGTATGGAATAGTATAGCAGTCTCTGTGGCCAGCACCTGATTCAGCCTCATCTGGGAAAAGAAACATGAGAAGTCTTCCTTTGTTGCTGTGGGGTTGTTGGTTTTTTAAAATTTTTAAAATTTTTTGTTTTTTTAACATGCGTTCTAAATTAGCATTTTTCCTCCGCTTAGTCTATTCCCCAAAGCAAAGATGGAAGATGCAGAGACTGTGCTGCGTTGAAGCAAACGCTAAGCCCAGTGTCTTATCCCCCCCTGCGCGTAGGCACTGCCATTTTGCTACTGATGTCCTGGTGTTTTTTTAATGCATTAGGAGCTAGAGGACTGGTTAGTTACCTACATTTATTTGGGAAAGATGCGGATGGTGCAGTTTTGTACCCCAGGTCTACTTTGCCTCTCTGGGGACATAAAGAAATAGTACATGATAGAGAGCTTCAAACGGCAAGGATGAACGCTAATCCCGTGTCTGCCTTTTGTTTGCTTGATTTTTTTTTTCTTTTTAGTGCCTTTCTGTAGTGCTTTAGGCTGCTGAGTGTCCCATGTGTCTTCCGATCTTGATCTCACTCAACACACCCCTACTGACCCTGGCGTTTACAAGCATTTAGCAGCACTTTCATTGCACATTTCACGAGCGATCTTTTCCTGAGCTAGATGTTTAATTGGCCCAAATTTGTAGTAAGGTAAAACACTGCATGACAGGGTCATTAGCGGCCAAGATCCCTCTGTTTTCCTCCCTGCCTGAAGGACTGAGTACCGAGCTCACTAGGTGGAGATGTGTTTAAGCAGCTTGCATGGTGGGCCTAGGTTTGTTTCCCCTGCTCGGGAAGGTGCAGAAGGTGCACAAGGAATCAGGGAGGAGACGGTTAATCTGATCATCCCACTGTTCATGTCTCTTTCTCTGGAGGGGGCATGGCCAACTCCCCATGGGGACAGGATAAATCTCTTAGGTCTCCCAGGCTGCCTGGAAGAGTGATAACCCAGGAGAAGAGCAAGTAAAGCCTGTTCATAGCTTTACTGCTATGCGGTAAAAGGTTTTCAGGGAGTTGTCTCTGAAAGACATAGCAGCTATTTAGTAATGAGCTCTTTGCATTGCTGTTCTCTGTTTTGGGGTTTTTGTTTGTTTCTTTTTGTTTGTTTTTGGTTTTTTTGGTTTTTGTTGTTTTCAAGTTGCCCTTCTTCCTAAAACCATGTTTTAAAGTCCCCCCCCCCCCCCGTTTTCTGCCAAGAAAACCACAGCTGACCTACCCATGCGGCTGTATTTAGGTTATAACCTCCCCAGGGAGTTGAGAAAGGGCTTTACACCCAGTTACAAGAGCTGCAAAAGACGCTGCTGACAAAGCCAGCACATGGAAATCTCTTTATCTAATACGGTTCTAGAAAATTAGATCAGTGCTCTTTTCCTGCCCCTACTGGCAAATGCAGCTTTGCTCAGTTTCTTAGGTGACACCCTCCTTCCCCCACAAATAGAAGGGCGCAGAACTGTTTTTACCAGGTGTCTATTAGCGGGCATGGCTGCTGTGTGCTTGCTGAGGTTCAACCACTGACCTATTTTAGTTTCCTTCCTCCTGAGAGGGAATCTTAACATCTCTGCGCAGGCTCCAGTGGGGTAGGATTCAAGAGCATGGCCAAGAGTCTTCTCTTAGACTTGGAAAACAAATTCACTTCCCTCCCATAATTTAAAGGCAGCATTTAGACCTGCTACTATCCATCAGGGCTGTAAGCAAGAGCCCTGGGCTCAGGGGCCATGGTTCTTCCGGCTACTGCTTACGGAGGAGAGGGAACGGTTGTCCCTGCTCGGAGTCCTACACGGTGGTATTTCATAGTAATTACATGTTGGCGCCCGTTCACCGCTTCTGCTTCCCCACCTACCTGATGTTATTTTCACTTTCAGCCACTTTTTCAGGCACTCCTGATGAACAAACCGCAGGCTTCCCACACAGCCGCAAGGCTCCAAGAGGGGGTTGGTTGGGGAACCCCCGGCTATCTGACAGATGCGACACAAGTCTCCCTCCTCCTCGGAGTCCTCCTCCAGGAGACTAAATAGAAAATAAGCCCTGGTGAGCAGGGGTCTGCACATTTGCAGTTTCTACAAACTACAAATACCACTTCCTGTGACATTCAGGGGGGGAGGCCCCGCCAGGACTCCCCAGGTCCCCTCCTCCCTGCCATCCTACTGAAAATTCTTCCAGGTTACTGATAGCAGGTGCACAAAGACTTGTATTGAGCTCCTCTGCAGGTACTGGTACGTGTGAGCTAACCAGGAGAACCAGTGGTACCACCGTAAATCTAGAGGTGTAGGACGGGGCTACAGAGGAAAGCCATGGAAACGCCTGGGCGCCCCTTCCCCTGTCCTGGCCACTGTGAAGGAGTTGGCGGTGTGGTGTGTTGTTGAGTAAATGAGATTTGCGGGCAGGGGACCTGGGTTTGAGGCTTGCCTCTGAAACGTGTGGGTTTGGTGACTCTGGACGAGTTCTTGAAGCTTCTCAGGTCTCTGTTTCCTCAGGTATAAAGCCATGTGATGCCAATACCACCACTACCTACCTAACAGGGTCAGGGGCAGCCTGGATGCAATGATGGCGGTGTCACTGATCTGCAAAGTGCATCGAGTGTCTGGCAAAGTATTTGCACACAGAGACCCCTCAATAGATGTTGGTTGGGATGATGATGAACCAATGAACCTGGACATGAACTCGCCAATAGCATAATACTTGCCGAGAAATTTTGCCAACATTCCAGAATGTAAGCTGCTGGAATCCGATGAAGATGGGATTAGTGAAAATATAAGCAGATATGTTTGTGTATAATCAGTGGTGAGTGAAGACTAGCTGGTTGATATTCATGTAGAGAGGCCCTTAAGAAGCGTAAGGCTTGTTCCTTAGAATCCTCATGGCCTGGGGACTGTCTGGTCAAGGAAAAGAAACTGGCTAGAGACTAAAATCAAAGGAGAGGAAGAAATGGGCATTGCTCTGGAGACAGAAGTATGTGCTCAGTTTCTTAAGAGACCTTCCTCCTCAGGAAAGAGAAGTCAATGAAAAGAAACAGAATTATAGTTTTCTATTATGGGCACAAACAAAAGAAGAGTTAGACCATGTTTTTCAAAGACTCAGTATCTCTAAGATGTCAGTTCTCCCCAGAATAATCTACAGATTCAACTCAGTTTCAGTGAAAATCCCAACAAGCTGATTCTGAAACGTGCGTAGCCCAGGACTCTTCAGGAACAAAGTGGGGAGATCTATCAAAGTGCACCACTGGCTACCAAAACTTAGAAAAGCTACAGACATTAAGATGATGTCGTGTTGGATTCAGGAAAAACAAAAAAGAGCAACAGACCAGAATAGAGAGCTCTGAAACAGACTCGTACATTTATAGTTATAGGTTATGTTATATATGCTATAAGTCCTTCAGTTGAGCAAGGAAAGATCTTGGGACAATTGGGCATTCATAAAACGTACCTCACATCACATATTAAACATCACTTCACATTTAAGTCCAGAATCCATTTCACACTAAGCCCTAAGTGTTCAAAGTGAAACTGTAGAGATTTTAGAAGAAAGTAGGAAGAATATCTCTGTTTTTTAATTTTTTAAATGTTTGTTTATTTTTGAGAGAGAGAGAGACAGAGCATGAGTGGGAGGGGGGCAGAGAGAGAGGGAGACACAGGATCCGAAGCAGGCTCCAGGCTCTGAGCTCTAGAGCCCGACGTGGGGCTCGAAATCATGAACCATGAGATCATGACCTGAGCCGAAGTGAGTCCAAGTGCCCCAGATAGATAGAATAGCTTAATGACCCTCTGTTCGGAAAGGATTTCTTCATCAAGATAACAAGATACAAATCACAATCCATAGAGATGGATATATTTGACTTCATTAAAATTAAGAATTTATTTTCATTAAAAGACATCAATCTGGCTCAGTCAGAGGAGTGTGTGGCTCTTGGAATCTCAGGGTCGTGAGTTCAAGCCCCACGTTGGGTGTAGAGATTACTTAAATAAATAAAAAATTAAAAAAAAAAAAAGCAAAGGTGTGATAAATGCAATGCAAGAATGGTTTCCTGGGGGCAGGAGGAGTGGGAGGGGGTAGAGGAGACGGGGTGGGTGAGGGGCTCAAGGGCTCCAGTAAAGTTCTGTTAGCTGGAAGCTAGGCACAGAGGTATCTGGGTTTTGCTTTATTTTGAATTCTCTAATTATTTGTGTGCATTAAAGTAACTAAGGAAAATTTTTTGAAGAGTATAAGTGGCATTGAGAAATGGGCTTGAAATATTTAAATGAGGCGTATTATAAAATCTGAGCCAATCTTACTAAAAATTGCATTTATATGCAAAGATAAAAGACGGGAAGCAAAGTTTTTTATAGTGCTTATCTCTGGATCATAGGATTACAGGTGATTTTTCCTTTAAGTTTATATTTTTCATATTTCTTAGAATGAACATTTTTGAGACAAACAGAAAGGCATAGGTTTATTATATACAGAAAAAAAGGTGCCTGATAGACGAAGTACATAACTCATAGCTGTTTAATGCATTGCCATGCTGAGAAGCGGGTGTATTTTTAAAAGAAATCATTTTTAGCTCCAAGGCATCTTTGGGATGGTGGAAGACCAGACTCTTGACAAGTGGGTCTGAAGCTGTATTTTTGGGCAGGTGTAGATGGGTGAGTGTGAGGCCTTTTGGCCCTTAACCATGAGTCAGTTGGTCTGCTGGTAGCTCCTATAATAGGGAAAGGGAGAGGTACTGTTAACTGGAGAGTGACTTAATTTCTGCAGCTGGGTAACAGACCTCAAGGAGTGATAGGTGTGTGTCCCTGTCCCCCGTGTCCCATCTTACCCTCCTGCATTCTAATTCATTGCCTTGGAATTTCCCCACTCACAATGAATATCAACAGGATAATTAATGGTCGAAATGAGCCATTCTAAAACACACAAAGGCGGCTTGCATTCACAGAATCCATTTCCAGATCAGTAAGCCAACATCAGGGCGTGGTAACACCTATCATAAAGGAAACAGTCGAATCCTGACATGGTGTCTGGTGATGGCTTTAAAAGGCGTCAGATTTCATACACTGTGGATATTGTGAAATATCCCCAAATCATCTTACAGGACAGGAAGATCAAAGAAAAGGGCAATCCAGAAAAAAAGACCTGTTTCTCTCTCGAGCGTGAGAAAGAACACGCAAAATGCGAGCACTGGTTACCCCAGCATAGCCCTTCAGAGAACCAAGGTAACCATGGTAACGGTTTGGGACAAGCCTTTTGGTTGGAAAGATTCAAATTCCAGAACTGTGGGTTGGATTTACACAGAGTCCCATGAGGGAGAGCTGGTGAACTTCAAGTGTGGAGGGGCTCAATCTCTGGGGACATAGCAAACTTTCCATAAAAGATCCCGAGAAGATCCATGAGAAGAGCCAGCCCTACGTAGCAGTCAAAAATCCCTTATGTCTAGCCAACCTGCCTTCCTTAAAGTTATGGTATTCAAGGAAAAAACATTTGGGGAATACTGGAGAGACTGAGCTGGAACACCAAACTTTTCCTCATAGATACATACATTTTAAGAGCAATAAAATAGACAATTTTGTCAATAAAAGCAATCATTAAAATGTCAAGGAAGGGCCTATCTAGGATTTAAAATTTCCATGAGGCTCTAATGAAGGTACTGCTTATTTCTACCTGGGAAAAAACGGAATGAAAAAAAGTATATACATATCATTATGAAAATTCCTCACCTTTCTTGCAATTTCTTGAGTTTCTCGGGGTTTGCCTTTATCTTATTGGCCTCCTTTTCATCTGTGAAAGCAAAGGCTGCCATTCTGTTCCCATTATCATTTTGATTTGGGAAATCAGAGACTGCAAAGAAAGTAAAAGGTATGTTTTCTTGCAAGGACCTGGGCACATGCAAATGGCCTTGTAAGTTCATTCTTGATGGAGAGGAGCTGGAAGACTCCACCAAGGACAGGTTGCTTTGAGGATTTAATGAGAGCTCTTCTGTACATGCTGGAGCCCCCTGGGATGGGTTTGTTAAAGTAATATCTTCTCCCCTGACATCAAATTCATATGCTCTGTTTACTGGAAAATAACTGTGGTTTTCAGCACTGGCGAGTGGATTCCTATTTCTAATGGGGGACAGTGGTTGGCGAATATTAAACCTTGAGTTTCCCTCTGGGTCTGAACCGTGAATGAATGCAGATGACATTGGCGAGTCTCCTAGAATATCATCTCTCATGGCAGAATGCATTAATGATCCAGGAGTGGTATAAGATGAATTCACTGGTGATCTTGGAGCTGTTGGTCTACCAGAAAGAAAATAGTCAAGAGAATTACTAGAACTGTTTAAATAGGCATGCCAATCTCTTTTGTAATCACAGGCACCAGGCCTATCTCCCATGGAGGTACAATCTCTAAATCCATTTTCAGCACTGAGGTCCTCATCTGGACGAGCTGTGGATTCAGTGTCCCATGAAGGAAAGGTGCTTTTCTCATGTTCACCGTCATCGCTGTCATTCTTCTTAGGAGGCCCTCCATCAGGCGGCTTGGGGTCTTGAAACACCGTTGCCTCCCCAGAAAGCTGGTCTGTCACTGGCTCCATCGCATTGCTCGTTCTTAATGAGCCACGACTGGCCTCAGTTCTTCTTACTGCATTAGCTCTGCCATTTTTAGGACTTTCTTCAAAATTTTTACTTTTGGCCTGAGTGGCTGATGTCCTAAGAAACTGACTTCTCTTACGACTGGGAGGAGAATGAGGGGGGCTCAGACCAACCAACAAAAGTTCTTCCTTTATGAGGGTCTCCTCTTCGCTGTTATCATTTTCTCCTCCAGGGTCTAATGATAAAATGGAATAAAGGCCTTCATCTCTGAACCTGAAGGGTGCCCTTCTTGTGGTGGTGGTTAGGAGTGGTGGCCCCAAGGACACACTCAACACTTGAGGGCTGTTTGTTCCTTGGAAGGCCTGAGATAGGCCCGGATGTGGCTCATTCTGGGAAAGGACACTCAAGTCTCCTCTTTTGGCTCTCTCAGGGGTATTCTCAGTCATAGTCGTTAGCTGTGAGGACGGGGCTAAGTGTCTTCTCTCTTGAGTTGGCCTCTTCAGCTTGGTGCCACCTGCCCACATTGGGCCCTCTTGTTGGACTATTGGACCTGCATGGAGAAAAGACAAGTTTTATCATGCTTCTATGTATCTATCTTTCATGGATGAAAGAGCCAGAACAGTAAGGGTGAGAGTCCCTCAAGGCAACGAGTAACCTAGAGAAGAAAATCTGTTAAACGAGTTGGAGGTACAAAAGCAGGCCAGTAGAGGTAGCTTCATTTTACCGCTTCTGGATTCTCCTTTGTACATTTGTGGAGCTCGGGCTGGTTCTGGGGAGACAGGGTGACCCTGAGGATACAGGTCTTTTTTGTGGAAGCTTTGAGAAGACTATCTAGTCCAGGTCAGTCAGGGCTGATCATGGGGAAATCTCTCAAATGATAGTTTTCATAACAGTGTTATGGATAAGGACACTTTTCCGCATAAACCACCAGTGCCTTCTCATCTGGATTCATTCAACATGTATTTATGACCCTCCTGCGCCATACACAGCTTTAAAAAGTCTTAAGAAAATATACTCTATCTGGGAATATTGGGAGGAAGGCTCTAGAAGCTGGTGTCCAGGTACCCTGATGATTTGGATTATGTTTACTTCTTAGTGCGATAAAAATTATAACGCTCTCATGAGATCATTACCTTTTCTTTGTCACTAGCTCCTAGTCGATTTGTAACCTTGAGCGATAATAGAATTCCTCCTCCGCCCCCTGATTCTAAAGTACAAAGAGATGTATGGAAAAGAGGACACAAAGTGTCCACATGGGTAGGAATTTCTAGTGGTGAAGTCACTTGGTCAAAATTTGCCTTATAAAAACAATGAATAAGCATAACTTACTGAGGGCTTATACGGAATGAGCCATACTAACTTTGTTACATACACACATGTGGGCCTCAGAATCCTATGAAATAGGTACCATAATCACACCACTTTATAACTGAGGGCACCCAGGCTTAGATCACATAACTTACCAAGGTCTTATTTCTAGTAAGTAAGGGCGCGATCATTCAAACTCCAGCCTGCCTGACGCTATGGTTTGTGTTAACCCCAACCCTGTGTCTACCTGCCCACCCCCCCCAGCCCCCGTAGCTGGACTTCCAATTTCCTTGTGAACATGATTATCCGTTTAATTCATTGTGATGTGCGTGTGCTGTTCAGGGTTTTGTTTTGTTTTGTTTTTTAACCCTCTCAGTGCAGATAGGACACTGAAAATACCCTGATTCTACTTCTCTTGCTTTCCTCCGGACGTCAGCCTCTTCCCAGCCTCACCCCCGACCTCCCCTCATGCTATCCTGCAGGATCTGATGAGATGCTGTGGTCCTTATCATTTACCTTCCGGAGCCATTCACCCCCTAGAGTGGACAGGACTCCACAGGTTTGGAAAGGCCTGTGTGGTAATAGCTCCGGCAAGTGAAATGCAAATCCTTGGAGCATTCGGCTCAGCCAAGGGCCAAGTCAATACTGACTCACTTTAATCGAGGGCCTCCCGGGAGCACCAGCTTCTAAGTCCTAATACTCTCTAAGCCTCTTTTATTGTTAACTGCATGGGATACTCAGCGACGCAGTGCGAATTTTTACTCATCAGCTCTTCCAGAAATCAGTTAAGCTCTCCCAATCAGGCCCCTCATGGGGTTTTATAAACCCCAGTAAGAGATGTATCAGCAATTCCAGGAAGCTCTGAGCAGCTGGCTGTGTGTGTATTAGGAGTGGAACTGGCATGCCCACTCAGACCCTGTTTTGGGGGGACAAATTCTTCTACATGACTAACTGAATTCTCTTGATGATTTTTTTTTTTTTTTTTTGGAGAAAAATTGATACAGAAGATTCAGAAATGCAGGCTCCGGTCAATTACTTTTCATTCTGAATTTGATGAAGTGCCTCGGAGATTAGCTAACAAGTTGCTGGAACCTGATTCTTCCCGTCTGTCCTGGAACACACAGCTGTCCCTCGGCCCTGAGCCGATTTAATCTGGGCATCAGGAGACACCTAAGCAAAGTGATCGGCGAGGGCACCCTCTGCAAAATGGACCTGGACACTCCACAGGAACCACAAGCTGGTTTCAGGGAAGCCAGGGAGCTGTCGCCCAGCAACACTGGCTTCTGAATGCTACAGGGTGGCTCCTGTGTATCCCCAAAACACCCCAGGGAACGTGTCTTCACTCTTCTTTGGCACCATCACTGCTTTCCTCTTTCAAGGTTCAGTCAGCTCTTCCTTGGTGTGTTTCCCCTAAAGGTGACAGACTGTGCCATTGTACACATACGCTCTTTGAACCCTATTTCTTTCTTTTTTTTTTTTAATTTTTTTTTAATGTTTTACTTATTTCTAGGAGAGAGAGAGAGAGACAGCATGAGCAGGGGAGGGTCAGAGAGAGAGGGAGTCACAGACTGAAGCAGGCTCCAGGCTCTGAGCTGGCAGTCAGCACAGAGCCCGACGCGGGGCTCGAACCCACGAACTGTGAGATCATGACCTAAGCGAAAGTCGGACGCTTAACCGACTAAGCCACCCAGGCGCCCCCTTTGAACCCTATTTCTTGCATCTATCAGATAGGGAGCAGACTTCATAGCACTCGGGCTGGGAATAAACACCCTATTTGGTATGCCAGGATGCACTATTCATAGACGAGGCCCTACAGAGTCTGCTGAACGTGTCTTGGGCCCTGTGTGGACTCCAGCTCGGAAGGGAGGGGCTCTCATTTCCAGAAGTTCAACCAGGTGCAGCTGAACGTTCAAGGGGCAACAAGGTGAAACCAGAAAAGGCATCCATCCTCACTGTCTTGGTCTAGGCCTCCTCACGTGCTTGACCAGTCAGTCCTTTCCTACGATCCAACAACCGTATTCTTCTGCCCATTTTCCTCTGGTTACACAAGCAGCTGATGTTTCTTTGGAGAAAATATGGGACTTCCAGAAGAGGACGAAGAAGAGATGAAAGTCACCTGCAATCTGAGCCTCAGCTGGCCCTTGCTCCCGTTCTGGAATTCAGCGGTGGGTTGCAAACCCAAGACCCCTGGGCCATTTTCATCCTGCTGTCGTGCTTTGCCTCACCATCTGAACACTGAGCTCACCGCCCTTAGGTGGGGCCAGTAGGTTCTAGTTTACTCCATCCCCTTGGCCTTGGGTATGTGTTTCTCCTGCCATTTTCACCCGTTCCCCTGAAGGCATTTGAATTTACAAGTCAGCGCTCTTACCTAGAAATACTTGTTTTCAAAAAAGCCAAAACTGGAATATTCGGGTACATACAACTTTACGTCCTGCTTTCTTTCCCTAAACCTTTTTACTGTGAGCATTATCTCCTGCTATAAATTCAATTACTCTTCAAGAACAGGGTGTTAAGTACAGGTTAAGATACATTATATAAATGTATCATAATTTGTTTAACTCTCCTCCTATTCTTGCGTATATACGTGGTCTTGTGGTGTTTGCTGTTACAAATTACACTCCGATAAATGTCCTTGCTCCTACATCTTTGACTACCTGTCTTCTTAGAATAGGTTCGCAGGCGTAGAATTGCTAGGTCAGAAAGTATGACCCTTTTAAAGGCTTTCCACACATGTTGCCTAATTCCAGTTTGTACCAAATTACCCTACAGGTAGGATATGAAAGCGTCTCTTAAAGCTGTGTCGCCAGCAACTCCTGCCAAGGGCTTGGCATGACATCGACACTCAGTGCCCAGGAAACGTTGTTCGTTCCACCACCAGTATTGGGTATTATTTTTAAAACTTTAGCCAGTTTCATAGGCCAAAATGATCTCATGCAAATTTCCATTTATTACTTAGTGAGGTTCAACTTGTTGTTTTTTCTTCCAAATGTTTATTAGCTATCTGCATTTCCTCTGTGAAATTGTCTGCTGTGCCTCTTCCCAGTTCTCTATCAGGTATTCATGGATTTTCTTATTGATTTGTAAGAGCTTTCTATATATTACCTCTTTGTCACATTGGCTTCACATTTCTCATGGATGCAATTCAAACACCTGGCTCCTACTCCGGTTTCTACAAACCACTTTAGAATGTGAGAGAAAGAACGAAAGAGAGACTAGCGAGGAAAAAACATTGAGGGAAGACAAGGAGCCCTTATCCTTACATAATAGAAAGCTGAATATATACTAGAAAATTGGGACGAATTCTCAGTGAATCTCAGGATAACAGCAGATGCCTTCCAGGTATAGGTGGAGGATTGTATGAGCCTCATGGGGAGCCTGACCTTTCAAATAACATTCAGGGGTTTATTAGGACCACTGGCGCAGCGCAGGCCAGGAACTAATAGTAATTTGGTGCCTATTATAGCTAGGTGTTGGTCAGTGTATTATTTCCTTTAGTTATGATAGCAATGCAAGTGAGGTAGATTATATCATCTTTATTTTTTCAAGTCTATTTATTTTTATTTTTTTTTTTAGAGAGCATGAGCTAGCAGGGCAGGGGTAGAGGGAGAGAATCCCAAGCAGGCTCTGCACTGCTGATGCACAGAACTCAACACTGTGAGACCCCACGGACTGTGACATCATGACCTGAGCCAAAGTCAAGACTCAGACACCTAACCTACTGAGCCACCCTGGTGCCCCCTCATTATCATTATTTTAAGGCTGGGGAACTATAACCCAGAGTGGCTGCTTGACCAGCCCAGGATCCAAGGCAGGGAGGAAAAAGACCTGAAATTAGAAGGGAGGACTGCCCTTCTCAACGGGAGGTGTTACATCGCTGGGGGCCGGTGACATCTGGTTGCTGCACATATGCTCTAATTGCCCCTAATTCTGAGCCACCCAAACCATTACCCTGCTTGAGAGTTACAGGTGTCCACTGAAGTATGTAAATGTGAAGTGTACATTTTAAAATGCTTATTTATTTCTAGGAGACAGAGAGAGAGACAGCGTGAGCAGGGGAGGGTCAGAGAGAGAGGGAGTCACAGACTGAAACAGGCTCCAGGCTCTGAGCTGGCAGTCAGCACAGAGCCCGACGCGAGACTCGAACCCACGAACCGTGAGATCATGACCTAAGTGAAAGTCAGATGCTTAACCAACTAAGCCACCCAGGCGCCCCTGTACATCACATTTTAAAATAAATCCTACTGTGTTCGTTGGGTGGTGAGGAAGCATGAGCTCAGTGGTTTCTCCAAGGGGAAGACTAAGTCTCTGGCAAGGTTGGCTGTCCAGTGTCACTTTCTTTGAGTCCCATGGAGACTCTTTGGGTCCTATTCCTTCTGCCATCACAGGGGAGGGTAACGTGGTCAGCGTGCAGCATGGCCTGGGCCTTTGGATGAATGCTCAGGACTGAAAGAGGGTGTATCCACCAGACCAGGGTTTTGAAGCAAAGCATAGATTTGCTTTGATGTTATTTCTTACACACTGAGATCTTGACACCCTGGATGGTGAGGTGAGAAGACCCCTGTGGGAGGTGAGCAGCCTGCCACCCTCAGGCACCCCTCACCCCCTCTCTGCCAGGTGAGATGGTCCCAGAGCAGCAGACTGCTTCTCCACCCCTTGCTACCCACCACCCACCGCCCAGATGTCCTCTCCAGAAGCCGGATGGATAGTCTCCACTCGACACCACGCACAGTCACACCTATGGAATAAATGGGAGAAAAAATAAAACAAACTCCCTGTCCTACCTTTTCCGGCCAGCCTCTCTCTAAGAAGGAAACTAGACCCAATAATTTGCTTTCAGAACCTTTTAAGCATTTCATTGTAAGGCATGCTGTCCTCCACATAAAAGCCCAAGTGTCTAAAAACCATACAGAAGTCACCAGGTAACCATACAAGTCCGTTCTCTTGGAGGACCAAGATGCATGAGCCCCGGGGCCTTACCTGGTCCCCTGAGGGTCGGTGCCTTGGCCGGCAGCTGTGATTTCTGTCTGCTCCTGTCCTCGGCCACTCTTGGGCTCTGCGTTTCTGGGCTGACTGTCAGTCTCCCCAGGTTTGGCCTCCTCTTCCTTGACAAAATTTGTGGTGCCTGGGCTGCTGAAAGGTGCAAAATGTTTTCAATAATAATTTTTTACAGGGAAACAGCTTGTGCATAAAGAATGGTCCAAAGGCTCAGCAAGGGGGAAGGCAGGTAAGGGACGGGGGCCCAGGTGGTCAGAGAAGAGCTGGATTTGCAACCTGGTTCTGTGACCGAGTAGCTCTGTGAACTTGGGCAGATCACATCACCTCTTGAAGCCTCAGTTTCCTCACCTATTAGATGGAAAATCATAATACCTACTTCGCAAGGTTATCACCATTAATGAGCATCTGTGACACCTACCAGCAGGGTCTATAAGGGGTATGTCCTTCTACTAAGATGCTTCTAGCTTCCCGTTCATAGATGTCGGGATGGGCACGCTGGTAACATGGTCAAGAGCCCTCTGCAGTTGGGACATGCAAAGGCCTTCTCCCCAACTGCTCTTCCAAGGTTGAATCACAGCCTATTTTGTACCTGCATATCCTCAGGTTGCTCACTGGCAGCTAAGATGACCTATCCAGAAAGGTTCCAAGCATCTGGGATACCAGGTGTACCTATTTGCTTGGCTATGTGCTGGAAGGATAAACTCACGATAAAGACAGTAGCGGAAACACTAATGCGGATTGAGTTCCCAGTGAATATATTTTTTAGAAATTCCCATCTTGAACGAGGTGGCTAATTGGTTTGAATAATCGTAAATCTCTTCTGCACATGTAGGAAGCGTCGTCAGTGCCCGTGGAGTTTGGAGCAAGAGTTTCAGTATTTTCCATGCCTCTCTGCAAGTTCTGGAGTTTACAAGGCAGTTGAACTGTGAATATCGGAACTAGATCTTTCCAAGGGAATTTACCTGGCTCATGCCCTCTTGGACAGTTCAGAAGTTTCACAAATAACCACAGCCAGCAGGCCACACGGGTAAAGCTGGGAGAGGCCCTTGAGTTGTGTGCAAGAGAGCAGCTGTTCTTGGCCTGAGGAGACAACTGGATTTATGTTCCGCAGTGTACGTTGTGGTTTTCGTCCAGATTCTGGAAATGAATGAAAGTTCTCCCTGGCAGCTCAGGAAGCCGAGTTGAATACAATGATTAGGTACAACTTGCCTGTCCTGATGGGCCCCAGGAGGGGAAGGCACTCGGTTCTGTGTCCCCAAGACAGAGGGGACCATGTTCGACCGGGGACGTGCTAGAAACCACCTGTCGCTGGTCGTGGCTCACGTAGGGTGAGCTGGTGGGGCCTGGAGAGGTTGCAGGTGTGACCGCAAAGGAGAGAAGGGAATTCTCCAGAAGATAAGGATATATTCTTCAGGGAGTGTGGGGTGGTGACAAGACACAATTTCACCAACCTGGAGGAGAGTGAGAGGGGCTTTTTAATATGGGGGCCAGCATGGAGGAGGGGAGCGTGGCACTTTCTCAGCACCAAGAGTTGCTTTCCTGGAATCCAGAGGTTTCTCTCTAGTCACCTTCCAGCTCTCAGCTCCTACCTCTCCCCTGACAGACAGGGCAGGAGGCAATGGGATTCTTACTGAGGAAGCAACAGTTGGAGGACCCCAAGGTCCTGGTCACTAGGACTGCACTTTGATTCCTCACAGGAATCCCATTAGAATCCTTGCATTTCCTTCACAGCCCAGGGCAGCAGAACCTCACACTGCCTGCTGCCCCAGCCCCCACCCCATCCACACCCCCACATAGCCCAGGAGTGTGACCCTCCTCCCCAGAGCCCTTTCTTCCCCAGCCTGCCCCAGCTGACAGCCCTTTGAGGTCTGTTTCCAGTTTTATGCTCACCGTTGAGACTCTGACTCTGCTCTGAGAACTTTTAGGATTCCTAGGACCTTTAGCATTGAAATAGTCTAATGTCGCGCGAGGCGTACATCTTTTCTCTCCTTAAGGATGAGGACCCTGCCTAGGCTTGTGTGTTGCCTGGCCTCCTTCAGGACAAAGAGTAATTGCTTAGTGTGATGTGCGGAGCCCTCGAAGATGCATTCGGCTACTTGGCTACCCCAGGGAAGTCTGAAAGTAGAACAAACTTTTTCTTGCGCCAAACATCCAAGATGATGTAAGGTGATTTTGTCTTCTTGTTCGGAAAAAACCGCCTGTTCAAAGCATCAGCTCTTATAAATGATTTCCGGAAGTGAGCATGTCGTCTCTAACTGAAGGTTTCAGCAAACCAAATTAATAAAGCTGGGAACCCAGAGATGGTTTTACCGGGTTTTACTTGTCCTGTGTGGGCAGGAGCCTCTGACTTAGGGCAGTTTGGACCTCAGGCTCCGCATCTCTGAAATGGGAGTGTTCTCATCTTGCTGAGTTATTTGCCAAGTTTTGCAATAATGTATGTAAATAGCCTCACTCAGTGTCTGGTGCTTCTCAGCCGCTCTCAATGGCGGCTGCAGTGTCTGCTGTAAACAGTTTCCTGCTACTACTGCTAATTGGGGATCTGAAGTCGCTCCCACAAGAGGACTGCTCTGGACCAGAAACGTGTTCTGCAGGTTTCATCTGTTTAGAATAACTCATGCAGCGGCCTTCATTTCTGTGCCGTGCTTGCTGAGGCTCCCTCCCTCGATCCTTTATAAAATCCAAAAGGCAAATAGCAATTCCCTATTATAATCTGTTCAACAAACACCCACGTGCCTTTGCTTATGTAATAATTTGAGGGTTTACAAAGATGAGTAAGACAGTTTGGTCATGACCTTAAAGACTGTAATCCAATTTGGCTGAACCGCTGACTTCCTCCTTGTGATACCCTCTCATATTCTACGGAAAGTGAACAAAATTTCCCTTTGTCACCACCTGCAATTGCAGGCACAAATGAGGTGACATGGGCCGCATAGCTTGCATGTACCTTGATTCCGGGTCCTAATCACCTTCCCTGTACCCAAATCAAACCCAACTTCAGACCTCTGGGGCCTTTCTAGCATGGTCCTCATACATTAATCTGCAGAGAGAGGCAAGTTAGATTCACACTGGAAGAGAAATAGAACTTCCTCTTCAGGTTGGAGGACAGACTCCTCAGGAGTCCCATTGCTGCCACTCAACACCCCGAAGTTGTCGGTGAATTTGGGGAAGACTTTGGTTTGCTTTGCACTGTATGCTCTTCTAATATCTGAGTGAGGCGGTGCCTCCAGTGACAAAGAAACCAAATGGCTGTTTCGATAAAAGGTGCCTGTCCTAGTTTCTTGACAATGCTGGAACGCTGTAATTGTTGATTGAATAGTTCTTAATTTGACTAGGCAAAAAAAAGGTAGTAATCTCCTATTTATACAAGGCCGATGATGACTGAGAACCAAGTCCATTTAACGGTGCATGTTAATTCCATGTGACCCATCATTGATCAGTTCTTCACATCACTTGTTGGACACAGACACGGTTCTTGACAGACTGGGTCAAAAAGAGAAAAATACAATTCCTAAACCCTTACTCCTTCCTCTTGTCTTAAAATTTTTTTTAATGTTTTTATTTATTTTTGAGTGACAATGACAGAGTACAAGTTGGGGGGGGGGAGAGAGAGAGAGAGACAGAATCTGAAGCAGGCTCCAGTATCTGAGCTGTCAGCACAGAGCCCAATGCAGGGCTCGAACTCACGAGCTGTGAGATCATGACCTGAGCCAAAGTCAGATGCTCAACCGACTGAGCCACCCTGGCGCCCCCTCCCTCCCCTGTCTTCACAAGGAGGTGCCAAGATTCTAAGAGATGCCTTCTTAAAGAATGTCTTGCTCCTTTACTCTCTCAAAATAAATAAATAAACTTTAAAAAAATGTATTGCTTCCTTTAGATCGTGGGAAGAATTACAGCTTAGTCGCAAGATTTGGTGTTGCCCTGGGGTAATAGGCAGCTTTCTGTACAGTCACAAATAACAGGCTGGTCGATCTGCCTATTTGGGTGTGCTGGAAATGTGTGTTGTCTCACATACCCAGAGGAGATCTTAATTAAAGCTTAATTATGTACCATAAATATGTTTTATTTTGGAGCCCAGGAGGTGGGATTTTTGATTTTGGGAAATGTGGTGCCTAATAAGTAGGCAGGAAAGGGAATGTAAATAGTGACTGAGCCCTTTAATTTGTCCCCTCTCCGCACGGTTCAGCGTGGCTTCTCAGTCCCAGCGTGTGCCTTGGGGAGGACCTGCCCCCCACCGCCGCCACCCTCTCGGGGGCCGCCATCGGACACAGGAGGGCCTGCTCCTGTTCCAAAGCGCGCCAGCCACAGGAGTGAAGAAACCAGATGAGTCTCGAGACATGATGGGATTTTATTGGTCGCTCACGCCTCAGCGCTACGAGGAGGTCGAGTCAAGTGGCAGCTGTCTGGTCTTCCTGCTCCCCTGCACACCTCACCGCCTGGGTGTTGCTCGTGACCTTGCCCTCCGGCCCTCCTCCCGTCCACCTGCCTTCTGGAAGCCTGAAGTCCCCGTCTCCCTGACTCCACTGTGCTGTGTGCCCAGCCGAGGGGGACTTACCACAGGAGGTAAATCTTACTGGGTCTCCTGGGCCCCGGGAGGCACAGCACAGGGGTCTCCACTGGGGTCGGGCAGGAGATGGGGAAGTAGCACAGGGTGGCCGGGGACTGGGGCACGGGGCCGGGGGACAAGGAAGAGGGGCTGGTGAAGGAGGGGGAGGGGACAGAGGGGAGCTGCGGGGAGGGGACCTGGGCCCCAGGGGAGGCTGGCTGCAGGAGCGGCAGGACCAGGCAGCAGTAACTGGTGTTGGGCTGCAGGACAGGGGTAAAAGCAAAGACGGAGCAGTAAGGGGAATATTCAACACAGAACAGGGGGTGCTCGCTGCTGTCACCTGCACAAAAGAAAAAGAGCAGTCAGGAAGCAGCACTCACGGTGGGAAAGGACATTAAAAAAAAAAAAAAAGCCTGTGAATGAATTGGAACCCAAAGAGTGTTCTTCGCGGCTGGCCTGGCCAGGTGTCATACGGGCAGCAGGAGGGCATCTCAAAGTCACCGAAGAGTTAACCGAGGGGCAGGGCCTCACGATCACTCCCATTTCCAGCCAATAGTCTCTGGCGTCCCTGACAGACGCAGAAAAGTTCTTC